AGCAGCGGGGAGCTGCTCTGCCGGCGGCCTGTACGAAAACGTGGAAAACCAGGAGTGTGTCCAGAACCAGGAGGTTTTGCCCAGGGAGCCCCCTTCGCAGCCCCCTTCGTCCCCAGGGCCGGCCTCGGATTCCAGCCGCTACGCCTCTCTGGCTCCACTGCTCCCCAAGAACCACGGTGGGAGCCACGTGGAAGGAGGAGCCAACCTGGAGGCCCCCAGCGCGTTCCCACGGCCTGTCCGGCCCGACAGCGTCTCTTCCAACTACAGCAACTTGAGCCCCAGGGGCGCGCCTGGCCCTGCCCGCCCGCAAGAGCCCGGCACGTTCATCCAGCAGGAAAGAGGGAAGCCCGAGCAGGAGGCTTCCCGCTGCTTTTTTAAGCAGATCGACTCCTCTCCACTCGGAACAGACGTGGGGCCGCAGGAGCCCGGCAAGAATTACCACAGCCCCCCCTCCCAGGCGCCCACGCCTAGCCCCCCCAAGCCCACGGGCGTGTTCCAGACCAGTGTCAACAGCTCCTTTGAGCCGGTCAGGGCCCACAGCCTGGGGGTGAAGCCTGCGGAGACCGATCAGGCCAAGGTGGTGGCCGAGCTGAGAGAGGATCGCCCCAGCCAAAGGAGTAGCCAGAGGAGCTCGACGGTTGCCGTGGCCTCCCCGGGGAACCTGGAGCAACCTCCTGACAACCTGGAAACCCTCTTCCTGCCCCCGGCCCACGCCTTGCCCCCCTCCCTGGGGGGCGGTGGCAGCGGAAGCCCCCGCCAGCTGGCCGGTGGGGCAGGGATGGAGAAGAGACCAACCGCCAGAGCTCAGGAAAGGCTGGGAAAGAAGTGCGAGAGCCCAGCCACCACCCTCTGGGCGCACAACGAGCTGCCCAGTTTTGGGGGCAACGTGCTCCTTGCCCCGGCTGCCCCTGCGGTCTACGTCCCGGCCAAGCAGGTGGTTCAGCCCCCGGAGGAGGCCCTGCCGAGCAAGCCGGGGCCCCAAGCCGGAAGCCTCCCGTCCGAAAATCTGGAAAACCCTCCCAAGCTGGGGGATGAAGAGGCCGCGGGCTCTCAGAGGAGCCTGGGTTATGCCAGCCTCCTGTCCTCCCCGCTGACGGAGGTGCTTCAGAACCAGCCGGTCTTGCTTGCCCAGCCGAGTCAGTTCGGCAGCTTGGCTGCCCCCGCCGGTCCCTCTCTGGGCCAGCCCGAGAAGAGCCCCCCGGCCAAGGACCTGGGCACCAGTGGGACGCCTCTGCTGGAGAGGAACAGGAGCTACAGCCTGTCGGGGGGAAACCCGCCTGGGGGCTTAGTCCACTCAAACCCCTCTTTCTTCCACTGCCCGCTTAGCTCAGCCGAAACTGCCGCCCCCAAGTCCCTGGCTCAGCCTGGCTCTCAAGGGCCCCTCAACTTGGCTATGGAAGCCCCCCAGCCCCCTGCTGCAGAAGGGCTGCCTGTGGAAAGTGCTGGCCAGCCCACAGGTGGCGTTTCCCTCTCCCACGCTAGCCATAACCTTCCTGGCTGGTCCCAGAACGCTTCCCACGGCCAGGAGCTTTCCAAACCCCTGGATTTGGCCGGAGCGAAGTCCCAGGAGCTCAGCAGGGCAGGGCTTGGCCAGCTCCTTTCGGGCAGCCAGGCGTTTCCTCCAGCCCCCGGCCCGGCTGGCCCCGGCAACAACCAGCCACGAGGCCCGCAGCAGTTCTATCGGCAGGTGACCAAGGACTTGGGGCCTGCCATGCCCTCCGATCGAGGGGCGCCCTCGGAGCAAGGCCATGCAGCTTCTCGGCATTCTTCCGTTTCCCCCAACCTCCAGATGCCTCCTGGAAACCCGCACGACCCAGCGCCGAGTCCGAAGCCTTGCCCCGGCGGCCCCTTGGAAGGCAGTTCAGCCCCGCCACCGCCCAGCCATCCTCAGACAGGCACCGACTTCAGGCAGGATCCCCGCATCCCCCCTGGCATGGGGCCTCCTCCTCCTCCTGGATCCACAGCCCCAAGCGGCCCCCAACCTGCTCGCCCCCCTTCGCACCACGAGCAGCAATACCCTCCTTCGCAGAACCCCCAGAATGCTTACGGCCCACCCGCCAGCTCCTACTACTACTACCGGCACCCCTACGACAGCTACAGCTACCCACCGGTGGATCCTAGAGTGGCTCAGCTTTACTACCAGGTAGAGTGAAACGTGCTCTGTTTAGCCACCCTCAGGAGGATTCTGGGGGCTGGGGCTGGGGGGGAGATCCTGGCTGGGGTGGGCTGAGGCTTAAGACCAGTGGTGGGATTCAAAATTTCTTACTACCAGTTCTGTGGGCGTGGCTTGGTGGGCGTGGCAAGGGAAGGATATACTGCAAAATCCCCCTTCCCTCCCCACCCACTAACCTGCTTTCCAGCTCCGTTCTCCTGGGCAGAGCAACCAAAGGAGACCCAGCTGATCAGCTGGGACTCAGTGGGAGGCAGAGAAGAGATGGGGTTGGCGGGGCCAGTCAGAGGTGGGATTTGCTGGTTCTCCAAACCAGTGATCCCCAACCTTTTTTATGCCGCGGCCCGGTACCGGCATCAGCTGGGCGCCGCCATCTTTTTTTGATGAAAAAGTGCTTCCGGTGAGCTTTCTACCCGGA